TCAAACCCACCAGCCACTCCTCGGAAGGAAGATGAGGCAATCTACTTCCGTAGTGATACTGCCTCGGAAACCCAAGGAGGGGTCGCTATGAGTCGTGTCCGACTCGATGGCAAATAACAACAACAACATGCAGTATATATACTTCAGCCACAGAAAGTAATTTTATATACATATTTTTAACAATTGTACTGATATTTAAGGAGCTCTGGTGGCATAGTACCTAAGGCATTTGACTGCTAACCAGAAGGCTGGTAGTTCAGACCCACCAGCCACTCCTCGGAAGGAAGGCTGGGCAATCTACTTTTGTGGTGATACTGCCTCGGAAACCCAAGGAGGGGTCACTATGAGTCAGATCCAACTCCATGACAGCGAGTTTGGTTTTGAGTTTGAGTACTAATATCTAAATTAGCTTTATTTTTTAAAAAGGTTTCTATAAAATACTATTGTGGCTACATATAAGTATATTCAAAACAACTCCAATGCTTTATGATAATGATATTTCAGCTATTCTATTTCATTTAGTATAGAAAAGCAATTTGGGGTTTTTATTTTTTGTTTGTTTGTTTCTTTCTTTGCTTTAGGCACTAGATCCAAAATATGCAGCATCTAGACTAATAAAGTATTCCAAAATATAGGTTATATACTTGTTCAAGGCAGCAGGTAATAGATCATTTTGACTGCTTTTTTCAAAAGCATTAATGGAATAATGCAAATGAAAAGCTGTATGACAGCACAAATTTTTTAAATGACTCAAATTGACACCTAATTATTGACCATTTTGAGACAAGAATGCCCTGATATATATAAACTCATATATCAAACTTTCAAACATGGGGCAGTAGCCATTAACCTTCAAGATGGGAAATGGGAAGCAACTGAAATACCAGAAATTATCGTATAAAAAATTTTACTTCTCATTTGAATTTAAAACAATCACTATATAAAAATCACTTCCGGAAATGACGAGACTCTAGTTCCAACATATCATTCACGTACTCCACTGAGCTTTCCCAGGCCACAATGCCCACACACGTAAAATACCAGTGTATTGAAAGGATGTTTTTTCAACTTTTGGTTTGCTTTTTTGGCTGTTTTGTTTCTGTTTTCTTTTTGAGATATAAATTGCCCATTATAAGGTATTTGGAAGGGATAAAGGGAAGCAGAACGTGCTTTCCTTCAATCTTATAGGCCCCCTCTGGCTGTTGTCAAACCCCTTCTTCCAGTGATAGCCCTGAAACGCTTTATAGACCCTGGACAAGAAGATCTTAAAGGCCTTTTCCAGTAATATGATCTAGGACTCTAAACATCACATAAAGTGAATGGCTTATTTTCATTTATACAATCATCAGCACAAAAAGAGAAATTTACTTTTCAGTCATTGAACAAATATTTATTGATCGTCTATAAACCAGAAAGCATCAAGTTAGATGCTAAGGATACAATAGTTCTAATTTACTCAACCTTTTTTTCACTATTATTACTCAAAAGGCCTCTCTATCGCCTTCTTATAAATAAAAAGGATCCTACCCAGTAAAATCAGTTAAACTGGTTTTGTCTCTTAAAACTGACAGAAAATGAAAATGACCAATAGTCAGTAAGCCCTGCAGGTTCAGGTTATTTTCCCAGTAGTGCTATGGTAAGAGCTAAAATAGTCAAAGATACAATCAAATATGCAATTCCTGAAAGATATTACAAAAGAAACTCAATGTTCTCTTTCATATACAAAATAAATTTCAAAAACAATTAAGTTTACATAGGAACAAACACATGTCTTCGTGTGCATATGGATATACTTATTTAGTACACAAAATATTATTAGATGAATATGACAGTTTCCACATCAAATTTTAAAGATTAATTTACGAGAAATGACTAAAAAGGTTTTAGCTGAAGCTAAAGAGTTTGTTTTTCATCTATTATCAGCTACTTCATGTGAATACATATTTCTTTTAAAACATGCATTTTCAAATTTCTGCTAAGAAACATCATGGCACTTCAGAAATATTTCAAAGAAGCTAAAAAGAAAGTACATAGGAACTCAAAAGACAAATGGAAGAAATGAGAAGATTAGGAAAAACAGGAAGCAAATAGGCAAGAGAAAAAATTTATAAAATAGCTTTGGGAATATGATTTTAGCTACGTGAAATAGTTATAAGAAAAACCAATAATACACAACTAACAGTACAATGTAGATTAGAAACTGCTGTTGTTGTTGTTGTTGTTTTGCCGTCGAGTAGGCCCCGACTCATAGCGATCCCTCCTTGGGTTTCTGAGGCAGTATCACTACGGAAGTAGGATTGCCCAACCTTCCTTCAGAGGAGTGGCTGGTGGGTTTGAACCGCCAGCCTTCTGGTGAGCACTCAAGTGCCTTAGGCACTATACTACCTGTAAACAGAAAAACTGCAAAGTCTACCTGGATGTCAGGGTAAGCCTAAACCAGGTTTCTTAACCTTAGCACTAATGACACCTGAGGTTGGACAGTTCTTTGTTTTGTGGGAAATGGGGCTGTCCTGTACATTGAAGGATATTTAGCAGCACAGTTGGCCTCTACTAGAAGACAGCAGCAAGCCAGAGCTCCCCTCCCTCAGTCTTCAGACCACACAAAACATCCCCTGGGGAACAAAAACCACCCTGGTTGAGAACCACTGGTCTGAACAAAGGAAATGAAAGTCTCAGAACTAAACTAAAAGTCTGATAAGAGATGCCTTGAGACAACTGTTAAACCTTAAACCAAAATATCCCCTGAAGTCTTCTTAAGACCAAACAATAGTCTAGTTTAAAAGTAAAGAATGTCTGCCTTGAGCAATATCCTCGTTAAGATGTAACTGTATGGGAGCAAATTGACAACAGCATTGAAGGATTAGACAGGAAAGTTAGAGGGCAGTGACTTTATATTAATGGAGGGAGAACAACTCAGAAAAGGAAGATGAGAATGGGTGCACAACACAAAGAGTATAATAAATGTCACTGATTTGTACATGTAGAAACTGTTGGATTGATGTGTATGTTCTGTGTGTATTCTCAATAGTAACAAAAATTAAATAAATTACAAAAAAATTACTGATGAGAGAAATATAAAGGTACTATTCTGTTTTCCTTACAAACTGCCTGGCTCATAACAAGCACTCAATAAATGTATGTTATTGTTGTTTAAACCAAAACCCATTCCCATCAGGTAGATTCCAACCCATAATGACCCTATAGGACAGATTAGAACTGACCCATAGGGTTTCCAAGGCTGTAAATCTTTATGAAAGCAAAACATCTTTCTTCAGCAGAGCAACTGGTGAATCACCAACCTTTTGGTTAGTAGCAGAATGTTTTAACCACTATGCCACCAGAGCTCCTTTATTGTTTAAATGTATGTTGTTAAATAAAATTCTCCCTGTAAAATTGTTGACATTAAGTATTTAATGACTCTAAAGTTTCGAAAGCTACAGCTCAAATTTTCTATTAATTATAAAGTAATAGAGACCCTAATAACAAAATTTACCTATATATTTCTTATAGATTCAAAATAACTAATCTAGCTTTTCCCTGCCCCCCCAAAAAAGAGTCCCTTAATACAACAGTGCTTAGGAAGCCCACATTACGTTTTCTATGAAATGCTTCCTCACACCCATTTTTTCATTTTTCAATCTTGAGCATGAATTTCTCATATTTATTCATTCAGCACACATATTCTAAATGTCTACTTTGTGTCAGCATTGTGTTAGGGACTGAACATGTAAAAGAGATAATAGAGACAAAATATCTTCTTTCAAGGAGCCTAGAGTCTAGTAAAAGCCTACAACTAAGGAAACTGTTACTAAACCACATAAAAAGCTGCTAAGGAGAACCTCAGACTATCTCCCCAGGATTTTAGACAAAAGCAAAGAAATGATGATGGTTAAGCATGGTTCTGGGTTGATTTTGTTTTTGATTTCAAGAAGGGAGAAGCTAAATTCCACACTACAAACTTTCTTCAAACATTTGTTATGGATCTTAATTTAACATATGTATCTATTACTATAAAGTCTTGGTAAAAGAGAAATTTTAATTATATATAACATCTTTACTTTTATATATTCCCAAGATCAAATTTATTATCTCAATGATATTTGCATAATTTAAGACTTATCATTTTAAATGTTTAACTTAAGCTTTAAAAAAAACACCAATGAAAGATGTTATCCTGTGATGTTCAGCAATATAATATTAAATATTATTTTTAAAAAAAGTGAATATATCTTTAAATATAATTACAGTAACACATGAAATTGAATTCTTCATTAAAAAGATATTCATTTTGCTTTGACTATCTTCCCAGTTGCCAAGAGGACAGCAATGTTGCCACACTTTATACATATACAGACACCCATCATCATCTTGGATATTAGACAGGTTTATTACCTTAACTTGTGCCTCCTCTACTGGTTTAAAAGTAGAACAACACAGACCCAAGCTTTTAATTCCATTAGGCAAATACCAACCTAATAAGTTTATATTTTTCAACTAATGATTATTCTTTATAAAATTTATTTTTATCAGATCAATATCAAATTTTGGATCAAGATCTCAAGAACATAAATCTCAGTGAGATTATTTTTTAAAAACCTTAAGATACTATTTTTCTTCTCTTAAGATTGGGAGTATATATTTCAGTGAGAATATATCACATTTGTGCTATAATTGAAATTTTTCTATATAAACACAATTTTTCTATTATTATGCTAATCAATTGGACTTACAATGCTGTATATCTGTCCATTGCAGACTGCACATCTCTACGGTAAACTGTTCGAAGAATGACCATGACCGGGTCAAACTCCTGATCCCAGACTTCAGCTATTATTCAAAAGAAAGTAGAAATAGGACATTGACCTCTTAGGAATAAAGTCAATTTTTTATTACATTTGTTAACTACATTTTAAATTTAAAGGATGGAATAGTTCAATCTGGTTATATATTTGCTTTAGTGACAGGCTTGATGTTGTGACTACATATCTAAGTCAAAAATCATAATGTCACCATTATGAATTTTCTCTTAAGTTCAGCAAGAACTACTGAACAAAAACATTTGTAGTGTAATATGCCTCACCATAAAGTTTACTTCATTTTTTTTGCCTAAAGTACGAACTAGAAAGTAAGAAACAGTGTTGGTACCTTTAAAAATATGTAAAGGTAACTATATGAAAACCTCGATTAAAAATTAATGAGCTTATATTGTGTTTTTATTTGAGCCTCACAAACATTTCTGTTTATAAACAACTGTCTGCTCCTTTGCTAAAATTGATAATTGGCCTCCTTATCTTCTCCATAATTAACAACCAATAACCCCCCCCATGTATACAAGATACTTTTAAGTATTAAGTATACAAAACTTTCCATTTTAATAATTATAAACCTATTTTGACATGTATTAAAAAATTTTAAGTGGCAAATAAAACCTATAACCTCACTAATAGTCATGCTTAAAGAAAAGTTTTTTAAAAAAAAAAAAAAGTGAGTCCATTTAAGAAAATACCATACAGTAACAGACAAACTAAGAAGATTTGGCAAGAATCTAGATAGTGGTCTGAGAATAATAATTTTAGAAAGCATTGCCTTAAGAGTGTCTTTTCTCAATGGAAATGGTAAACACAGAGAAGAAGTGGGAAGAGTGTTGTTATGTTGTGGGAATTGCAATCAATGTCACGAAACAAAATGTGTATTAGTGGTTGAATGGAAAACCAATTTGCTCTGTAAACTTTCACCCAAATCACAAAAAAAGTCTTTTAAAAAAGAACAACTCTTTCCTAAATTGTTTGCCTCTTCTTACTCTCTCTAGTAGAATTCTCAACATTTAATACATGCTAAGAAGCTAAAGACTCTTTCTACCCATCCACTATAATTTCAACTTTCAGGCATCCTTCACTTTAAATTCTATTAATTTATATAATTAAAATGCTAATGTTTTTATCAGAATTCTATCTTCTTAGCCATGAAAAAAACTCCAGTGATTAATTAGTCGAGGGGCTTCAAAGAGTGTTCCACAGAGCTGAATAATATGAATAGAAGCCCGAGTGGCACAAGGGTTAAGCGCTAAGATGAGAACTGAAAAGTCGGTGGTTCAAACCCACCCAGCAGCTATGCAGGAGAAAGATGTGGTAACCTACTCCCATAAAGACTACAGCTTAGCAAACCACATGGGTCAGTTCTACACTGTCTCAGAAGGTCACTATGACTCAAAAACCAACAAGATGGCACCTAACAACAACATAATAGGAGTCACTTTAGAAGCAAGGGGATGGCAGAGCAGATGGATGAGATGCCAGGTCCACTTTAACAAGAGAGTGTTTTTATCAGTTTTAGATAACAGATTCACTTAAAGTTTAGTTTTCTATAACTAAAGGCTTAGGTTCAACCATTTTAAAGAAGTTTAAAAACTACTCATCTAGCCCAACTCTCTCATTTTACAGATAAGAGCCAAATCCAAATAAAAAACTCATTTTCTCAACATTACACAACCAGCTAATACAATTCAGTACCATATTTAAATATAAAACCCAAGTTTCTCAGCACTAATCTTCAAATGTCCAGTGCCCCAGGCCAGTATGTCAACTGTCTGATAAAAAAGTTTTGATAAAAGAGTTTGATAAAATGTAGATTGCAGATACTGTCCCCAGAGATTCTGATGAAAATGGGTATGAGACAGGGATAGGAACTTGTGAGCATGACAAAGGTACTCCTCATATCTCACATAAATAAAAGCTGCACTGTACTTCCAAGCTCATCTAAATTTTACATACAGTGTTCTCTACAATAAAGAAATACTATGCTTTTCCCTTAATGAACACACAATAAAGCTCCTTTTGTAATTTAGTTAGTTAAAATGCCTTATTATACCATGAAGTCAAAGATTTAAAAATAAATGGGAGCGATTATCAGTGTTTATCATAAAAGACATGCATCCATGAGAAAGTTAACCAAGCCAAAACTGAATTAATTTCAAATTCTTATGTGTGCCCCAAAAGGAAAAACATTTTTTTCCAATATCTATAAGAATTCACCTTTACAAATCTGATATTTGGAAAAATTTATTTATGTATATAAACTTACCTTTTGGTGTATACATGCCTTGTTGCATAGAACCTCCAGGTTCAAAAACAGGAGCCTTAAAATCAGCTACAGCTGATAAAACTGTTTCAAAACTGTAACTGCCTGGAATAATGCCACTTTTTGGATTTGGATTTTCTGGAATATGATGTTTGTGTCAAGAAAAAAATATTAGTGATAAAAACCCAGTTTCTTATCCTAACCAAGATTGCATTCTAGTTTTCTTATTTTTTCTGAAAGTCAAATAGTAATTGTCTGCAATGTATAATCTTAGCCACCAGAGGGCAATACAATAGAACAGTTTGGTAACTTTTAATTGAATTGTAAGACTTTTTTAAAAATACCAGTCTACTAATAAGTTGTGTGGGAGCTCTGGTAGCATAGTGGCTAAGGCACTTGACTGCTAACCAGAAGGCTGGCGGTTCAAATCCACCAGCCACTCCTAGGAAGGAAGATGGGGCAATCTACTTCCATAGTGATACTGCCTTGGAAACCCAAGGAGGGGTCGCTGTGAGTCCGGGCCGACTCGACGGCACATAACAACAACAACAAGTTGTGTGCTCAAGTAGTTCTCAGGGATGTTTTCCTAAAAACATTTAATCAAATCAGGAAATGAAAAAAAACTGATACCCAATTTCATCATTTTGCAAATAATATTTTTTTATAAAATCAGCAAAGAAACTAGTATTCTTATGAGCAAAAAATTATTTTCCTTTAGTAATGTTGCAAGGTATAATGTTCCCTTTTATATCCCAATAAGTTTGTTTTTGGTTCAAAAAAATTATTTTCCTAAAAACACAAAATGCCATCCTGAAAGACAAAAGAAAGAGATGCTGAGCAAAGAAGCAAACTACAAAAGTTCTTTCCCATTTGTTTCACACTAGGGTATATAATTCTTTTCAGTTCAAAGTTACAAGAAATGTTTTGACTCTGGAACACTACCTGATAAGGGTTGGATGAAATCATCAAATAATATCAAAATGATGCTGCTTGTGAAAATTTTTAAGATTATCAAACAGGCATTCCAATACAAATTATTCACAAAAGCAAAGTGTTAGCTAACTCTTCCAAGCACATTCATAAGTTTTACACACACATACACACGTACTAAATTTAGTCAAATATTTTCATAACAAAATTTGTCTAAAATTTCATGAACATTCACTAAAAATTTAAATTAATAACTATGTGTCCATTATATGCTCAGTGCTATACAGCAAAATTTGCAAAAACCAGAACCTGTGTAAGGTGGAAACCTGTCAGAGAAGGAAAACTCAAATCTTTTCTACTAAAAAGAGCAACAGAAAAGTGAGAAGACTGTACCCTGTCAAAGGCAGAAAATCTGCAAGACAAAGGACAACAAGGCAGTCTCATGGAGTTCCGGGTCTCACAGGTTTCGGCTACACAAAGAATCTCAAGTTTTCAGGCTTTGTAGACAACAGATTCTGCCTTTAAAGACCTCCTGGTTTAAGACTGAATTCTAACAGAAAATCCTCAGAATATTTAAAACCTTGGTTATAATAATTATAAGATATACCTGTAACTGTTAATCGTGAATTCTAATCTGGCTACACAGATAAAGCAGTCAATTACTGTAGTCCTGGAATGTGAGGTCCCAAGGTGCCCAGAGCCATCAGTCCTGAGATCTAACCACAACCCCCCAGAAAGGTGATAAGTAGAAGAAAAAATATCTGTCAACTGAACACACAACTGAGCAGATGAATGGAGTTATTTTCGTGTTATTTTTCAACTTGAGAGGAAAAAAATGTTTAATCCATAAAAACTGTTACTTAGTGTCTAAAACTAACAGAAAATTAAACTTTTAAAAGGATATAAGGTCCAGCAATGAACTATGTGTCCTGTCATTCATACACAGCTGTGCTACCATTTCTGCCCTGAGAATCTCATCATCAGACATTCCTAAAATAATTAAAAATAGAATTAATAATTCTGAATACATATAAATTACAAAGAAATAACCACATATTTTATTAAGCTGTCTTACCACTATGAGGTGCTTCAAAAATAAAGAACCATATGAACCATCAATTCCACTCATAGGTATATACCCAAGAGATTTGAAAGCAGGGACTCTAACAGATACATGTACACAGTGTTCATTGCAGCATTATTCACAATACCCAAAAAGTAGAAACAACCTATGTGTCCATCAACAGACAAACACATAAGCAAAGTTATATGTACACAGAATAAGTTATTATTCAGCCATAAAAAGAAGTGAAACCGTGATACATGGAGGAATCCTGAAAACATTATGCTGAGTGTAATAAGTCAGACATAAAAGGACAAATACTGATGATCCTATTTATATGAAACACAGAACAGGCAAAGACACAGAGACAAATGTTTATTAATTGCTTTGCAGGGCTGTGAGGAGATTGGGAGTGACAGCTCAAGGAGTACCAAGTTTCTGTTTGGGGTGATGAAAACTTCTGGAAACGGATAATGGTGATGGTAGCACAACATGGTGAAAGGAATTAATGTCAGTAAGTGTATAATTATTTTAAAATGGTTAAAATGGCACACTTTTTGTTATAAATATTTTACCACAATAAAATTTTAAAAATAAAGAGTAAAGAATGTAATGCCCAAACTATAACTACAGTTTAAACACCCTGCAGTTTGCAGTTCTCTTAAATAAAGGATTTTTAAAGGCTATTCTAGAGAGTGTTATCAATTGTACAACATATCAAGAACTTGAAACATGTGTAAGTATTCCACATCTTTTCCTTTTTGTAAGCCAGTTTATATTATTGGGGGTGGGAAGAGGAAGGCAGGAGGATAACTAATATTCAAATTATCAGTGTTAGTGGTTTTTACCTAAATGCAAACGAAGACTCAAGAGAATCACAAGAAATGTAAGAGCGCCTTCTAACATTGATCTCTCGTGCTCTGCATCAAGTACTGTATTTTGGTGTTGTGATGCCATTGTCAACAAATCCACTACCTTAAATCTATAAGAAGAAATATTTGAGATAGATTTTTAAAGGTTCAAATAAAACAAACCTGAATTCAAACACCTGATAATATCTGTCTTAATTAATTAAAATTATGCTTACCTTTCAAAGACAGATGAAATAAAATAATCTGGGTCAAGTCTAGAAGCACAGACCTTTAAAAGGAAAATAAAACAAAAAAATGCCCTAGTTCTTAATATTCAGTTTTCCTTCTAAAGTATAACATCTGAATTATCAAATTGGCTTACCTGTAACAGGTAAATATCAGGATCAATCATAGAATTACAGAAATGAGACTGTACATAGGTCATGGCTTGTCCTTTGATTTGCAGACCATTTCTTACCCACATATTGCTATGGATTTCAGCAAGACTTGCCTAAATAAAAAATATGTAAATCGGACAAAAAAATAAGTCATCTAACTTCAATCTTTATAATGTTATGTTACATCAAACAATAATTTTAAAATATTTTATGACTAGACCTAATCATAGTATTAACCTGAAATTCTGTCAACAAACCATGTTGTGCTACCATCACCACTATCCATTTCCAGAAGTTTTTATCACCCCAAACAGAAACTCAGTACTCCCTAAGTTGTAATTCCCAAAATGTTACTTTAAAATTTTC